AATCGGAGGTGATCATCATATATCTTCCTCAGTTACTGTCCCTATCTTTGAAATAGCATCTCATCCTCAGGCCTGGCCCTCAGAGATCTGAGTAAACTGTCCCACAGGGCGGTGTGCCTCTGGATCCTCTTGTCTCTGCCTCCCAGTGCTGGGTTTACAGATGTGTCCCAGGGTACCTGCCTATTTTACACAGGTGTGGGGATCCAGACTCAGGTTAACTGCTTTTGTAGTATGGACTTTACCAATTGAGCCATCATTGCAGCCCATAACTGCAGTGTTATAACATCAAGGATTTATTATTCTGCAGTCTAAAGGTAAGAATTCTGAAATCGATATTACTGGCCTGCAAGGTGTCCAGAGAGTTCTATACATGGAATCTGTATGGGAGAATCCATTTTCTTTCCTATTCTGGATTCTGGAAGCTATCAGCATTCTTTGCCTCTTAGCCCTTTTTCTGTGTACGAAGCCAGCAAATTAGATGAGTCTTTCTCACATTGTTTTACTCTGACAAATTGCCTGTGACTGTAGCTCATCACCTCCGCCTTCCCCAATGAAGGACACTTGGTCATCACATTGTTCTCACCTGAGTATCATCTGGTTAGCAGCTAATGTGCAGTTTAATTCCCATGTGTGGTGTGAGATAATTTATTCACAGACTGTGGGTTGGGTAGTAGACATCTTGGAAGATTTTGACCACATACACCGATAGTGCAGGATAGTACAGTATGATACAGGAAATACATTTAGTGGACAGACCTCTAGTGTCTTTGTTTCTCTAGAATCTTTTAATCTAAGTTGGGTTGAATCATCCTTATCTCTCCTGTTGGTGATATCTTTCATCTCTGGCACACTAGTGACTGTACCAATCACATAAATATTCCCTTTATAGACACAATGGAGTCACGGAGCAGACAAAAAGTAATGAAAAGTCAGCTAGCACTAGTAGAAGGAGTGGGTCTGTGACTCCGTAGGTTTATCAGTCTTTCTTTCAGAATTGAAATTCAGGGCCAGCTTCCCCTTCCCCCTTGGGCTTCCTCTTTATTAGTCATATGGCTGTGGCTCCAAAGACACTGGTCACCCATACCTATATATACATTCTCCTCCCCGCAAAACAAACTCGAAAGACAAGGGAAATCAGGCCGAGGCCCAACCAGGGCTGAGAACTAAGAGACTGGGCTCTTTTGCTATGCAAGTCTCACAATTCTCTTGGCTCTCACTGTGTTCCACCCTTATGCTTCAGAGGCCACAGCTGGGAGATAATAGTTTCCACTGTTTTGCTTAGGCTAGTTTGATTCAGATTTGTGCCACTGGGCTTCTAAAAAACTAAAACTAAGAGCTTAAATAGAAAGAAATGTCTTTCTGTTTTCTCCATTCTGCTGTACCTGCATTACATCAAGAATTCATGGTATCTAGCACTGTGAACTTCCTTTTTTCCTGAGACTGAGGAGGCTTCCAAAGTCGTTTCTGACTTATATATCCTACTTAGATGTTGTTGAATTAAAATAAATTTTTAAAAGTTATAACAATGTGTGTATAATTTTGGCAATTTTTGTAACTTCATACAAATATTGTATTTTTACATTTTTAATTTATACGTGTGTGTGTGTGTGTGTGTGTGTGTGTGTGTGTGTGTAATAGTACCAGGAGGGTGTGCTTTTGGAGGTCAGAAGACAACTTGTGATAGTCAGTTCTCTTTTTCTTCTACGTGGGTGCCAAAGATCAAACTCAAGTTGACAGGCTCAGTGGCAAGCTCTTTTACCAACTGAGTCATGTCACAGGCCCCAGATTTGTATGTTATAAGTGGGAGTCTTATGTAAATTCTATTATCTTGTAAAGTTGTAGGCCTGAGAAATAGCAATTTCCCATGTGTTTGTTATGACTTAGAGAAGAAAGTGGATTTGTAGAAAGGAGGCCTTCAGGAGGACTGCGTCAGGAGATTTAGAAGTTCATCAGAGCCAGCTGTGATGGGGTCCTGAAATGGGAAAGAGTTGACGTGGATGTCATCATACTGTGATGATGGGGCCCTGAAGGCCCTCATTTCCAGTAGGACAAAGAGAATGTCTGAGTCTTACAGGTTTTCAGGAGAAGAGTGGGTTGGGAGGGGGCAGAGGGAATATAACCGGCCTGCCGTGTGACCAAGCCTGGCCTAACCTTTGTACCAGGAGTCACAGGGCAGTAAGGCAACAGATAAAGCAAACGTGTAACTCAAATGCACAGCTACAAGGAGACGGAGAGAACTTCAAGGCCAAACAGGATAATTTTTTATCAGATCTATGTGCCAGCAGGGAGCCTATAGGGACGTGTGGCCTGATTTCCCAAAGAGAGAGAAAGAGAGAGAGAGAGAGAGAGAGAGAGAGAGAGAGAGATATCAAGGTAGAGGAGGGTCTGTGATCTAACAGCGTTTCTGGATCACACACACACACAAAAAAAAAAAAAACACAGCTCTCATCTTAAAGGGAATAACAGATGGTTTATTCTGGAACCATTTTGAGCCACCATATCTGGGGAACACAGATTTGCTTAACCCAAATTCCATGTTCTAACATGGCAGTAGTTTTTAAAGTGTTACAGAACAGAGCAAGCCACAAATCAAGGCAAGTTTAAAATACATTGATGGGGGCTGGAGAGATGGCTCAGCCGTTAAAGGCTAGGTTCACAACCAAAAATATAAAATACATTGATGGACAGTGGCTGTGATATGACACATGGCTTTAATCTCAGCACCTGAGGCAGGGGATCTCTGTGAGTTTGAGGCTAGCCTGGTCTACAAAGAAGTTTTAGGAGCCAGGGCTACACAGAGAAACCCTGTCTTGAAAAAACGAGTAAATAATAAATAAATATAAACACCTCAATGGGCACATCAGAGAGGCAGGTACATAAAGATGGGAGAAACTTTTCCATAGGTCCAAGATGCTATCTAATGGCATTTCTTAGCTTTTGGGTTGGTGGAAGCTAGTAGGTTGCTAAATTAATAGATTCCAAAAGATTCTATCTATTAAGTCACAAGTTGTTAGTTCTGACACAGAAGGGGGCAAGAATGGCTGTTTTGGAGGACTAGAACTAGCCGAAGATAATAAGGTAATTAGCCTCTGGACCTGCAACATGCTAATCTCCAAAGTGGGAATCCCTAAGACTGTTTTACCTTTCATTAAATCAAATCCTCAAATCTGTGCGCAACGATTACAAGACAGAAGGAGTCCAGGTTTCATCACCAGCTGTTTCGACATCACCAGCTCTCTGCCACTGCACCTTAACTTCTTTCTCAAGGGGCCAAAGGGAACACCAAGCCCTAGCCCTGCCAGTTCCCTCAGGGACAGCATGCCACCATCGTCCTCAGTTCTTATCCAGTCACATACTCAGAGAAGACTATACTCATAGTACTTAGTCACCCCAATATCATTGCCTTATTGGACCTAATTCACACAACAAATCTCTCCACTGAAATTCTAATCAGCCAGTCAGTTTCTGCAGACACGACTTCTTTTCAAGAGTCTCATTCACAGAAAGAGGCGCTCACGTTGAATAACAATCATCAAAATTCATAGGCCTGGTGTGGTGGTGTATGAGGCAGCCTGGTCTACAGAGTGAGTTCCAGGACAGTCAGGCCTATGAAGTAAGACCCTCCCTCAAAAAAAACTAAGATAAAATTAAAAGAATTCATGCAAAACATAGTAAACTAACAGAAGTTAACCTTAATATGTTTGTCTTTTCTCCTTTGGGAAACATTTTTATAAAACTCAGGTTGGGGTATATGTGTATTTGTGTTCTCTCTGTTCCCAGCAGCCGGGAACTGAAGAGAAAAAGAAAATTGGCAGGGTGTGTGCACACCTTTAACTCTAGCATTCAAGAGGCAGAGGCAGGCAGATCTCTGTGAGTTAAAGACCAGCTTGGTCTACATAGTGAGTCCCAGGCCAGCCAGGGTTACATAGTGAGACAATTCTAACTAATGTATTGATCAGCTGGATATACATACTGTTCTATCTTTTCATCCTATTTCCTTGTGGGGGCATTGCTTTGGTTCACTCAGGGACTCTCTTCCCAAGATAATTAGTACATTTAAGTAGACCCAATAATTTTGTCCAGAGACATTTTTGTTGTTGTTGTTCTTAGGTTTCTACTACAGCATGCAGGGCATAGCTCTAGGTGTTTGTTGTATTTACATTAGTAGCTACTACAATTCAGCAATCCTGTAGAGCTGTCTTGTGTGATAGGTAGAACTCTAACGGTGTTAAGCCTGCAAAGAGTCTCATCTCTATTCAGCAAAGCTGTAACCCAGGCATACTCAGAAAATATAGTTGCAGTCATATACCTTAAAGTCTAGGGGACTTAGTCTAGATTATTTGGGCATGTCTTTTTATTGTTTTGTTTTTCGAGACAGGGTTTCGCTGTGGCTTTGGAGGCTGTCCTGGAACTAGCTCTTGTAGGCCAGGCTGGTCTCGAACTCACAGAGATCTGCCTGCCACTGCCTCCCGAGTGCTGGGATTAAAGGGGTGCGCCACCAACGCCCTGCTGTTCTTATATTGAATCACTTGAGCTCTTAAAAACAGAGAATGAAAGTAAAAGAGAGTGCCAGGATAGGGTCCAAAGCTACACAGAGAAACCCTGTCTCGAAAAACCAAAAAAAAAAAAAAAAAAAAGACAATTTGTTTGTTTGTTTGTTTGTTTGAAGGCATTCCGCTCTACCCTCCTAACGTCAGGCTAGCCACTGAACCCCATCCCAGACCCCGGCAGTTGGGGTCCCACATCAGCATCCACGCTAGGGGGTGTGGCCGCACCTCTGCCAGCACTTTCTCTGGGCTCGCTCCCGCCCTGGCACGGCCACTCTGCGCTTGCGCGGAGACGAGCCCACTGCTTTCCCTCCAGCGGGGGGAGCCGACGCCCTGAAGGTTGTTAGTCCTCCGCTGGGTTCCCTCCGCGTCCTCGGCCTCCTCCCCACCGAACTCTCCCGCTCCCCAGTGCATCCTAGAACCGGCGTTTAACGGAGGCGAATCCAGAACTGCCTGAAAATGTGTTTTCCTCGCTGTACCTCGAGCGAGTGGGCTGGGCCGCGGGCCGGAAGCGGAAGTGCTGGCCCGCGTCTGCGAGTTCCTGTCTGGCCATGGCTGAGTCTCCGCTCCGGGAACCGGTGCTGGACGCCAAATCAGAGGTACGTTCGGCCTGGGAGGAGAAGGGGCTGGGCGGGCAGCGGCTCCGGGAAGGCTCTTGTCTCTGAATTGTTTCTGCTTCTGTTGCAGGTCACCTGCCAGGTGAGTGGCGG